TCTCCTGAAAATTTGAAAGACAGCACCACATGCCACACACTGGGCCTCATGGCAATGCTGATGATACCGAGCAGTCGCTGCCCACTTAGGGCTTTTTCTGAGCAGATTGTCCTTCGCTGGTGAAGGGATGAGCTTTACCATTTAGGTTAGCTGTTTGCAAATCTTGATACAGGATATAGACAGCGTATGAGGAAGAAGGAAGAAAAGATGATGGGAATCCAACACAGTGGCTTAACACTGGAAAGGGGCAAGGAAGGTAAGAGAAAAAGGAAAGAAAGGAGTGCACAGCAGACAGAAACTATATGCTATAAAATGTACCCCACTACTGTCTCCAGGTGTATACTATGGAGGGGGACCCATGACAAAGATATGGGTTTTGCTCTCAACAAATCCCTTTGGGCCAGGCTCATAGTGTGAAAAACAAGAAGGAAAATTTTCCAAGTGGAGCAATATCCCTGATCAAGGATGGGACCGGGCAAATGGAGGAGAATACCATGGGTTCTCTTCTTCCGTACCCCATAAACCAAGGGATGTGGGCCACAACTTCATCTTCACTTTGAGACTGTAGTGAACTATGGCCGGCACTGCCCAGGTACTTCCCATAAAGAACCAGAGACACCATGGACAGCTGTGCCGGCCGTGGACTGCGTAATGCCAGACAAAACAAAACGAGAACGGCCCTCCTGAGGAATGCAGAGTAGAAGCCCTGCCCCAGATCTCCACCTGGGTTGTTTTTTCATCTCCTTCGGGGTCTAGCCTTTGAAGTAAGGCCTCCTCTGATCCCACTACTGAATTTTTCACACACCACCCGATTTCCCCTTATTCCCCCCCACCACTTTATGCTTCCTTATAGTTCTTATCCTCACCTCCTATACAATGCATTTTTATTTATTGTTTGCCTTCCTAAATATAGAACAGAATACCATGAGGTCGGAGAATTTTGTCTCTTTTATTCTCTGCTGCATTGTTAGAATCTCAAGTTATGCCTAGTAGGTGCACAACAAATTATCCATAATGACCAAATCCTCACTCACTTTCTTGGAGTACAGGAATTAGCTTTCACTAGAACCTGTGATTCTCTGACCACATTTTACAATTGCTCTGGCCATATTTTATAATAATCATCTGTTATATTTGGAGAAATACATTTTCAAATCCTACGGACCATTATATAATTTATATGGCTGATAAGCTCTTATATAACTTCTATGGAACCTATAGCTATGACAGAAGTCAAAAACAACAGGAGTATCCTCCATAACATACTTGCAGAAATTCACATAATCACAGCAGAAATATGTATACCTGGGTATGTGATTAGCCAGTTAACTGCTTCTTTTTTTATTTTAAATTGTGCTGTGTTTACACCTCCTGCTACAAAGGCCAGATGTATGATTTTTCTCTCAATTACATTTTACAGCTTATAAAAATACTTTTTCATTTTGTCCTTGAAAAGCAAAGTAATCAGATTTTACCGAATGTTTTTACTGAAACAAATTCCAAGGAGAATATAGTGTTAAACACAACTGAGGAGATATCTGAGAACGGGCTTTCTAAGAGAAGGGTAGATGATAAAATTATTCACAACTCTTAATCTGATACTAGGAGAATGCCCCACACATGTGAACAAAGCTTTTCTTGGTATGCTTTACTACAAAAAGAGAAAGCAAGAAAAAAAAACTGGAGGAAGAGAAGGTGAGAAAACCCCTAGAGACTAGAAATGTATATTCATCATTCATCACTAACCTAAGGAGCCCAACCTATTTCTGTGGAAACGCTTCGAAAAGTTAACCTTCATGGATGACTGGGCGGATGCTGTATGGTGATATTAAGACAGCCAAAACTGGGAGCGAGGCTCTTGCACAGTTTTGTCGTCTATTATATGGGGAAGTTAAGATATTATCTACCTTGCAAGGTTGCTGCACTATCAGAAAGATGATATACTCAGAAGCAGCTTGAAAATATTAAGGGGTCTTTAAGGTCCAATCTTTTGACCAAAAACTAAAATTGTATTTAATAACAAATGGGATGATTTCTAACAATGTCATTCATGTGTGATATCCCCTCAATAATTATGGATCTCGGTTCCAGTTTATGTGTTATTTATCTGTATACCTAGATTGTAAACTCGTATAGGGACAGAGATTTAATTTCTTCTTTTAAAAAAGATGTTTTTATTGAGTTTTAGAGAGAGAAGAAGGGAGAGGAACAGAGAGATAGAAACATCGATAAGAAAGAAACATCATTCACTGGCTGCCTCCTGTACGCCCCCCACTGGGTATCAAGCCTCCAACTTAGGCATGTGCCCAGACTGGGAATTGAACCAGTGACCTTTTGGTTCACGGGTCGATGCTCAACCACTGAGCAACATCAGCTAGGCCTCATTTCTTCCTTTTTAAAAGATGTTCCTATACTACCAAAAACGTATGATGCTCTACATACCGTTCTTAGCTGTTTTTAGACATGTGGGCCTGGCAGCAACTATGCCTGCTAACTCAAGTGATGCTGAATTGACATCAGTCAGTATATCTATCATTTATTACTAAGAGGTGACTATTTATTTTGCGCTGAGCAAAGCCCATAAAGAAATTATGTCCTGAGGGCTAGAATCAAAGACAACAGTTTCAACATCCACCAGTGAGGTAAACTTCCTGGCACTTGAGTTTCTGCATATTTTCTCCCCTTAAGGCGGCACAATGAGGAAATTTGGTATGCCATGAACAAACACAGCAGCTCCAGAAAATATTAGGGATGCTGGGAAAAAGAAAATATAGATGGTTCTGGTGAAAAGCATTAAACCTAATGACAGTGATAAAGAAACCATGAAAATGGAGAAATGGGGCATCCAAGGGCTTGGAAGCACCTCGGACCAAAAGGGGGTCGGGGGTAGGGATGAGGAGGAAAGGGGCAGAAGGACAGGAGCTGCCCTGAATGTGTAGGGAGCTATGCACTCATTATAGGTGTGTCACCGTAGGCATCGGTGCAGCCACCACTGTGTGTCCTGAGAGGCTGTCAGGCTTTTTGAGTTATTCACTTTATCTTGACATACCCATATTTGAGAACAAGTTTATTCGAGGTTACTGTATAGATTTGTAAAAGAAAAATTAGACTAATGCTATTTTGGACTTAAAAAAAAAAGAACAACAGCTGAGAAAATTGATTGCTGAAGTGTATTTCTTAGTTTAATCCTCATTAAAACAAATTTTAAAAATTTCAGATTATAGTGGAACTAGGCTTAGACGGCCTTAAAATGAATTTGTAAGATGGGTATTTTTCCTGCTTAGAAAAGTGTCATTTTTTTCATTGTAGGTTTAAAAGTCATGAAGATACCAGTTATGCGCTTTCATATTGACTGACTGTGGTTAATCTTGTACATCTTTATCATCCAGATAAACTAATCTTTATCCTTCATCCACTAATTCTGAAGGCACATCTAATGTAAATCCCTATTTGTTATGTATTAAGAACAAAGCAGTCTTTGAAAGAGCAGTAGTCAGCAGACCATCTTCTATATACCATAAATTACATTCAGTTAAAGCTATTTTTAGGTTAATAACTATAGGCTTATGCACTGTTAAGTGTGAAACGTGAAAAGAATTTTAAAAACAACAGTATATTTTATAGGCACTCAGATATATTCTGATACTATAAAAATTTCTTATGAGGGATGTAAATCTCACCTGTGTTATTCAGCAATTTCAAAAGAATGAACACAGAATACACCCAGACTTGTAGTATATGGTTGGAACCAAACCACCTCACTTCTGTTCCATTATGGAAGTTTACATGTTAAAACAAAGCCCAATCCACTTAGAGCTAGAAAGGAAAGCTTTGTACCTGTAAATAACCCAAGCAACACTTACAGTTTACATAAAGGCACAATTTATGTCCCCGAAGCACAGAGAAACATGATGCACATTACGTTCAGATCATCCTCATGCAGAAAAAAAGTCATTAATCAGCTATAATAGTTTAGCTGTAAAAGAATATAATGTTTCTCTGAATCCATTTGCATGTGTCTGGCTGAATAAACAGAATAAACCTCTACCCAACTCTACAATACATGAACAGTCTTCTTAAAATTCAGGAGAGGGTCCAGATAGTATATAATCTCCCCAGTGTCAGTTTATACAATCCTATCATATTCCCTGGCCATCTTAATTTGGCAATTAAAGCATCCCGATTATTTTGCCTAAGAAAGTTGACAATATTTCATCCTACCCAGCGCTCCCTTGAACACAAAAGTGTGATAAGGTAAAATAAATTGGGCAACTATTCATGCATGAGGCACTGGAATCCTCTTCAACTGCCAAATTTGTAAACGGCTCTTTTGAAATAGAAAGGTATGAAACGGGAAACCGTACTTTGTTGTAAATTCTGCACTGGCAATAGTCAGTGAAAAGACTTTCATTTGTGCTAAAATTCTTAGGCCAGTGCTAGCCAGCCGATCCGACCTCTGGCTATAATCTGTTTACCTAATAAGACAGATGCCCTCCACAGCGCCCTAGCAAAAAGCTAAGGTACAATTGAAAATGATGGATCACAAGTCCTGTGTGTTTGCCAGAAATGGAGACTTCAGCCCTTCACAGAAACATCAGTCCCTTGGAAGGACCCTCCCGTCGTACAGATAAAGCAGGGCTAAGAGCAAGGAAACCTATGGGCTCCAACCTTGACAGGAGCATCACCTTGGGACATGGAGGCCAGATCCCTTGTCTCGGGCTGAGTCAGATCGCAGCCCTGAACTTGGCCATAAACAGACATACAGCACTCTCCTACCCCAGCGCCTCTGAGTCATACAGGTGGCCGCCTGCAGCGAACCCCTGAAACGGAAAAGCCTCCATCTAGTTTCGACCTCCCCCCTGACCACATCCCTTGCTCCAGAAGCCCCTGAACCCTCGCCTACCCGTCTGGATCAGCAGCCAGGTCCCTTAGGGAACAAAGAGACAGAGGCGCTGGGGCGCGGGGTGGGGTGCGGGATCTGAAGGCTGTGGTAGTTTTACCTTGAGGCGCCCAGGCACCGGCGGCGGCGAAGTGAGTAGCGCAGGGACCACCCGCGCGCCCCGCGCCTCCTCGA